ACTTACTCAGCCACCCAGGCTGGAGGTGCTGTGGCATTGATTCTCGGCTCAGTGCAACCACCCATCTCCGGGGGTTCCAAAGCGGATTCTCCCATCTCCAGCCTCCCGAGTTAGCTTGGGGATTACAGGCACCTGCCGTCATGCCCAGCTAATTTTTTGTATTTTAGTAGAGATGGGGTTTCTCCGTGTTGGCCAGGCTAGTCTTGAACGCCTGACCTCAGGTGTCCGCCCGCCTTGGCCTTCCCAGAGTGTCTGGGATTACAGGCGTGAGCCACCGCACCCGGCCCGGCCCGTCTCTTTTTGTTTACTCTAGGCTTCTCTCAAATACATTCCTCTTATTTATCTGCTACCCCTACAAATACCTCAAAACTCAGCGCCGCTGGTTCACTCTGGCATGCATGAGCTGTCTTGCCCTTCTAGCCTTTCCAGCTGAACTGATAGCTCCTTTTTTTTTTTTTTTTTTTTTTTTTTTTTTTTTTTTTTTTGAGAACGGAGTCTGGCTCTGTCGCCCAGGCCGGAGTGCAGTGGCCCCGATCTCAGCTCACTGGCAAGCTCCGCCTTCCCGGGTTTACGCCGCCATTCTCCTGCCTCAGCTCTCTCTAGTCTAGCTGGGACTACAGTGCGCCCGCCACCCTCGCCGAGCTAGTTTTTTTTTGTATATTTTTTTTAGTAGAGACGACGAGGTTTCAACCGTGTAGCCCATTGTTTTTTAGTAGAGACGAGGTTTCACCGTGTTAGCCAGGATGGTCTTGATCTCCTGACCTCGTGATCCGCCCGTCTCGGCCTCCCGAAGTGCTGGGATTACACGCTTGAGCCACCACGCCCAGCCAACTGTTAGCTCCTTGAGCAGAGCGCCTGGCACGGCACAGATAATTCTCAAGAAGCATTGATGAGCAAATGCAGGCCAAGCAATTTATAGATGTCAACTCACTGATTCTAGAGTGAATCTAGAGTGGGGTAGGAGCTATTATTATCTTCATTGTCTAATTTGATATTCTTGACTACCTAGAAAAGAAAGTAGAATAGGACTGTCACCCTCGCGACTAGAAAGAAACTGAGCCAGAGTGGGGAAGTGAGGGACTCTGCCCAGCACTTCCTGAATTCCAGACAGGAAGGTAGAGATTGCAGCTATAGCACTCATGATTTCTTTTCAGCTGGGCGGGAGAGCCACTGCAGCATTCACCGGCACACCGTGGTGAAGCTGGCCCACACCTACCAAAGCCCCCTGCTCTACTGTGACCTGGAGGTGAGCATGCTGACCACAGAGACCAACACTACACTCGGGTGCGGGGAAAGGGTGGTCAGCACACAGTGGGCACATCGGGAATGGTTATTGAAGGACTCAGTATCCAAGCGAGGCAGCTTCTGAAGTGGAGGGAGACACAGGATCCTGGTTTGAGTCCTGGCGTTTCTGTTTACTGGCTGTGACCTGGGCAGGTCACAGCCTTGGAGTACACAGGTGTGAAGCGGGGGTGATGTGCTTTCATTTGGAGTGCATCTTATATACCAGGCTCTAGCACGTGCTGCCCTGCTTTTCCTTTTGCTGAGTTTCTGCATGCTTAGTTATAACTAAGTCTTACGTGTATGTATCTGTGAGTCTCCTCTCCTGCTGGGGTGTAAATGATTGAGGCCAGGCGTATGTCCGTCTCATTACCTGGTGCATCCTTGTGTCCCCTGGGAGTCAGAATGCCTGATTTGGCCTTAACTCTCTGTATTTCAGACCTTGTCTAGTCCCATCCCAAGCCAGGGTACCCAGCAGGCAGTAGGGATGTTTGTTGGGTGGGCAGGTAGATGGTTGGATGGATATGTAGGGTGTTCTGCCCCGACTGGATTCTATTGGTGTTTCCCACAAGGTGTAACTAATCATGAGGGGTAGGAAAGTAGCCTTTTTGTTGTTGTTGTTGTTGTTTTAGATAAGATATTGCTCTGTTGCCCAGGCTGGAGTGCAGTGGTGTGATCATGGCTCACTGCAGACTCGAGCTCCTGGGCTCAAGTGAACCTCCCACCTCAGCCTACTGAGTAACTAGGACTACAAGCGTGCACCACCGCACCTAGCTAAGTATTTATTTATTTATTTATTTACTTTTTAATGTAGAGATGAGGTCTTGCTGTGTTCCCCACACTGGTCTTGAACTCCTGACCTCAAGCGATCCTCCCACTTTAGCCTCCCAAAGTGCTGGGATTACAGGCATGAGCCACCGCGCCTGGCCCTTAGCCCGTTTTTATGCAGGATAAATCCTGATGACTTTTTGCTACAGAGGCCTCAGCAGGAGTTGATGCGCTCCCCCCGAGGGGTCTACTGAGGGGCCCCAGGGCCCACACTGCCACACCCACGCGCCAGGCCTGCTCCATTCCTTTGGAAACCTATTCATTGGTTTTGAGATACATTTTGAAGAGTTGTGTTTCTGCTCTGTTCTGGGTCTTGTGCCTGTTACCAAAAGCAAAGTGATGAAATGCAGGGAGAACCGAGTGAGCACACGATCTGTCACCACCAATCCGTCGCCACTGTCTAGACCAGGGTCCCTTATCCTAGTTTCGGCACTCCTCTGGTCTAAGGGCAGAATTCAGAGGATAGCAGTCTGTGGCTGTCACCGTAGAAATGGGGATGTTTTCATATCACATTAGGATTGGGCAGGTCTCATCATGTGGCAGCAGCCGTTAGGCCTGCCCCTCAGTCGATGCATCGATCACGATACACACTTGACTCATGCATTTGTTTTCCTATTTGATGACTACTTTTCGAGCGCCTGACCAGACCAGCACTCTAATCTCATAGATGGGATCCTGAGGCCTGGGCACACCTGAAGTGCCTTCACCTGCCAGGCTTTCCTCCCAGAGAGACGAGGTGACTTGCTCAGGGTCACACAGCTCATGAGTGAGGGGTAGAGCCAGCTGTTCTCCTTTCCTAGCCTGCTGACCATGTGACCTTGATTAGGTCACTTTGCCTGCCACAGAGCATTAGTTTTCTCATCTCTAAAGGGGAATCACGATCTTTGGTCCATAGTTCAGGTGCTGGTGGGGGACAATGGTGCCTGCTCACCTTGTGACAAGTGGTGCAGTTCTGTCTGTGGCCATGAGGTGGCGGGCCAGACCAGGTCCTGGATTCTTTCATGGCCTGGGCAGGAAGCAGGAGGCCCCAGCCTGGTTCTAGCTGCAGCAGGAGCTGCAGAAATGCCTGCTCAGAACATAGGCCTGCATCCCTCAGATGGAGCACCCAGGGTTTGAACAGGCCTCCCTCTTCATGCTGGTGTTGTCCTCTTTAGAACACTCTTCTGGATAATTGAGTTTGAGCCCCACCATATATCTTGAGGCCTTTGCATGGCAGGAATTACCAGCCCCGTTTCATTGATGAGGAAATACAGGAAGGTGTATGATTGGCCCAGTGAGATAACTGCCTAGGTCTGCTGGTAGGGCTCTGTGCTGGGCCCTGGGAACACAAATGACTCAGATATTGGCCCTCCCCTCTCAGAATCTCATGAAATAAGCAGACATGTAACACACGCAACAGCAGAAGGATTTGCTGAGCTTTGGGAGCCTGGCGGTAGAATTAGGTCATTTCTTCCTGGATGTCATGGGCAAAGTCATGACTGTGGTCAGACCTGGGCATTTGGGTCATGTCTCTGGAGTGACGTGGATTGGAGGAAGCCTGGCCAGAGGCAGGAGGCTGGGTCAAGGCTGCTGCAAGAGGCAGGTTGTGGACCCTGAGCCTCAGCAGCCTGGAGATAGATTTTGGGAACAAAGTCCACCAGACTTAGAGTGAGAGGATTTATTAACACTTCCTGAGTTTCTGTGGTGCCAAGCACTGTTCTAGGCTCCAGGGACACAGCACGGAACAAAACAGTCAAAAACCTCAGCTTCCTGTTGGGCGCTATAGCTCACGCCTCTAATCCCAGGGAGGCCGACGTGGGAGGATCACCTGAGGTCAGGAGTTTGAGACCAGCCTGGCCAACATGGTGAAACCCAGTCTTTACTAAAAATACAAAAATTAGCTGGGCATGGTGGCACGCTCCTGTAATCTCAGCTACTCAGGGGACTGAGGCACAAGAATCGCTTGAACCTGGGAGGCAGAGGTTGCAGTGAGCCAAGATGGTGCCACTGCACTCCAGCCTGGGTGACAAAGCGAGACTCTGTCTCAAAACAAAACAAAAAAAGCCCCAGCTTTGTTCTAGTCAAGGAAACAAACAGGGTAAATGAGGTGCTGGAAAGTAGAGGCGTGGCGTATCAGGTGGTGGTAAACAGGCAAGAGTTAGGCAGGGTGACCAGGGAACGCCCCTGCAAACAGGACTTTTAAATAAATAAAGAGCTGAAGGAAGTAGGCGGGCAGGCCATGGAGATACCTCGTGGCAGGAAGAACAGCAAGTGCATGGGTCGAGTGTGGGACTTGCCTGGTGTGCTCAAGGTCTGGCAGGGAGGCCTGGGTGGCTGCAGCACAACAGCAAAAGACGGGTTGGGGTGTAGAAATCAGGAATAGTGGGGCTGGATCAGTGGAGCCTGGTGGGGAGCTGCTGGAGGGCTCAGGACCAGGGAGGGATGTGGCCTGACTTGGGTTTTAAATGGACCCCTTTGGCTGCTGGGAGGAGAGTGGGCTGAAGGGAAACTAGGGCAGAAATAGAGAGACAGGTCTGGAGGCTTTTTTTTTTTTTTTTTTTTTTGAGGCAGACTTTCGCTCTGCCGCCCAGGCTGGAGTACAATGGCGCGATCTCGGCTCACTGCAACCTCCGCTTCTGGGGTTCAAGTGATTCTTCTGTCTCAGCCTCTCGAGTAGCTGGGATTACAGGCGACCGCCACCATGCCCGGCTAATTTTTGGAATTTTTTAATAGAGACGGGGAGCCAGGCTGGTCTCAAACTCCTGACCTCCTGATCCGCCCGCCTCAGCCTCCCAAAGTGCTGGGATTACAGGCGTGAGCCACCGCGCCCGGCCTGGAGGCTCTTTCTAGGGGAGTTAAGCATGGACTCAGTGCTGGCCAGGGAAAAGGATGGTGGGATAGTCTATGACACCGGCTGCTTCCAGGATGGAACCAGCCAACTGTTCTGTGGCCAGAATGTGAGGCATGAGAGAAAGAGGAGTCCTCCCTGACTCTGAAGGTTTTGCCAGCTGACTGGAAGGATGGAGTTGTCTTTGGCTGAGCTAAGGAAGCCTGCAGGAGGAGCAGGTTTTGGGGGCTTCAGGGGCTCTACTTTTGGCATGCAAAGATTAAGGGGTCTATTAGCCACCTGGGTGGAGAAATCAAGTCAATAGCTGCATACACGTGTGACATTCAGAGGGAAGACCTGGAGGTGTAATTTGGGTGTTATTAGCAACTGGGTGGTTTTAAAGCCACAGAACTGGACGACGTCACCGGGGGACTGAGTGTGGGAGAAGAGATCCAAGGACCGAGCTCTGAAGCCCCAGCATGTAGATGCTGGGCAAAGGCGAGGGAGCCGCCTGTGTGGGAGCGGAACCCTGGGTGAGTGCGGGGGCCTGGGAGCCAGGCAGAAAAAGCGTTTCAAGGAGGGAGTAAACAGCTGTGGTGGACTCTGTCAATAGCGCCAGTGCGGTGAGGACTGAGAAGCTGCCACTGGGTCTCATACCAAGGAGGTCATGGTAGCAAGCGGTGGGAGTAAGAGCAGGGAAGTTGAGGATGCCCTGGTCTCTACTTTGGGTGGGTGGTGACACCCCAACCTGCCCTCAGCTAGAGAGGAAACAGAAGGTGAGATGCTTCTGAGGCCACATGTCGGACAGGGGAAGACACTGGCCAGCATCGGGATCTTCCAGCAGACATGTCTAGAGCATCTGTGCCCGGGCCTGGAGCAGTCTTGTCCCTCTCTGGCCCCACAGCTCCCCCGGGCCCATTCCTTTTTGATGGCACCTTATCTGTGGTGAGGGCCACCCGTTCTCCCTCCCTCCGCCCCATCCCTGTGAGTATCTTCTGCTCCCTGGTCTTGAGCCTCTGGGGCCCGAGCTGCCCGGGCATTGGTTGGAGGCAGCCCTGGTTCAGAGCGCAGCTCTGGAGTCACTAGCTGGGTGATCCTTGACAGTTTGTTCGACCTAGCCAGCCTTGCTAAGCCTTCATTTCCTCTTGAACAGGAGGTCAGGCTCTGGATGTCTCCGGAGGTTGTCTGAAGGTTTGGGCAAGCTAAGGCAGTTGGAAGTTACTCTGAGGTGTGGCATGAATGAGGGCATGGCTGTGATGGGCAGTGATGACCTGAGCTACCCCCGAGTCCCCCCCCAAGCCCTGCTCTGGCAGCCTCTGCAGCTGCTCTGAGTAAGGGAGCAGGGCCAGCCACTGCATTCTGTGTCACTGCTGTTCTCTGCTCTCCCCGCAGGTGGAAGGCTTTCGGGCCACCATGGCGCAGCGCCTGGTGCGCGTGCTGCAGATCTGCGCTGGCCACGTGCCCGGTGTCTCAGCTCTGAACCTGCTGTCCCTGCTGAGAAGCTCTGAGGGCCCCTCCCTGGAGGACCTGTGAGGGCGACTGGCCCCTGGGCTACCTCTGCCCATGGCTTCGTGCTGACTCCATAAACATTCTCTGTTGAGGATGTCCAGTCAGGGCTTGACAGGCCCAGGCTCAGCCTCCAGTGGTTGGGAAGGTTCCCTGTAGCACCTGTGCTCCAGCAGGGAGAGCTAGGCAGAAGCAGCGAGGGGGCCCAGCTGGTGGGACTCCAGCCCCCTCCCACTCCCACACTCACTCTTGCAGAGCCTTGTGTCTTTAAGCAGCTGGCGTGTTACATCTCCATTTAAGGTTTCCTTCGAATAAAAGGTCTGTGACTAAAAAAAGTTGAGAAATCACTGGTCTCATTCACCACTTTATAGGTAAGGAAACTGACTCAGAACAATTAAAGAGTACGGCAGGGTGGGCCGGGTGCAGAGGCTCACGCCTGTAATACCAACACTTTGGGAGGCCAAGGTGGGTGGATCACTTGAGATCAGGGATTTGAGACCAGCCTGGCCAACATGGTGAAACCCCATCTCTACAAAAGTACAAAAATTAGCTGGACATGGTGGTGGGTGCCTGTAGTCCCAGCTACTTAGGAGGCTGAGGCAGGAGAATCACTTGAACCCGGGAGGCGGAGGTTGCAGTGAGCTGAGATTGCGCCACTGCACTCCAGCCTGGACAACAGAGTGAGACTCCACCTCAAAAAAAAAAAAAGTGAGACCAGCCTGGCCAACATAGTGAAACCCTGTCTCTATTAAAAATACAAAAATCAGCCAGGCATGGTGACACGGACCTGTAGTCCCAGCTACTCGGGAGGCTGAAGCAGAATCACTTGAACCTGGAAGGTGGAGGTTGTGTTGAGCCGAGATCATGCCACTGCCTGGGCAGCAGAGCGAGACTCTGTCTCAAAAAAAAAAAAAAAAATCTGGGCGCGGTGGCTCACGCCTGTAATCCCAGCACTTTGGGAGGCTGAGGCAGGCGGATCACAAAGTCAAGAGATCAAGACCATCTGGTCAACATGGTGAAACGCTATCCCTACTAAAAATACAAAAATTAGCTGAGTGTGGTGGCACGCACCTGTAGTCCCAGCTACTCAGGAGGCTGAGGCAGGAGAATTGCTTGAACCCGGGAGGTGGAGGTTGCAGTGAGCCAAGAACAAGCCACTGCACTCCAGCCTGGTGACAGAGCAAGACTCCGCCTCAAAAAAAAAAAAAAAAAAAAAAAAAAAAAAAAAAAAAAAAAAAAAAAAAAAAAAAGAGTGGGGCGGGGTAAGGGGAGCTTGAACTCAGGAAGCCAATCAGACTCCGCATCCTGGCCCTGCTGTCATAGAACGTGGTTGCTGCCTCTTGGAGCTGTTTCCTCATGTGAATGGAGATGTTCTGCTCACCTTGTCACATTGTGAGGATTGAATGAGATGATGGGGGACATGCCTGGGACCGTGTGACCCCCCCCAATGCCTGTGTGTAGGTTGCTGTGTTCATAATGTGTTAATGCCTTGCACCTTGCTAGGTAGGTACTCAGTGAACAGTAACTATTTGAAATCACATGGGAAGCCGAGGCGGGCGGATTGCCTGAGCTCAGGAGTTCGTGACTAGCCTGGGCAACACGGTGAAACCCTATCTCCACTAAAATACAAAAAATTAGCCAGGCGTGGCAGCCTGCGCCTGTAGTCCCAGCTACTTAGGAGACTGGGGCGGGAAAATTGCTTGAACCTGGGAGGCGGAGGTTGCAGTGAGCCGAGATCGTGCCACTGCACTCTAGCCCATGCAACAGAGGGAGACTGTCTCCAAAAAAGAAATCACACAGCAGAGTTCAAAAACTGGTGCAAATTAGGAATTATACCACTGTCAGAACTTTGCAAAAAGTAAGAGAAGCTGGCTGGAGGTCTCGTTTTGGGGTTGATGGCGAGAGATTGTGCAGTGACAGTTGCTTTCCTTCTCCCTTGGGTCTCATTGGAGATTGTAGAGGCATCAGAACTGGACTCTAGAAACCCCATAGCCAGGTCAGAGCTCCTGCCACTGCACAGAGCGGGCTTGGCACGTGGGAGCTTGTGGGTGAAGGGGGTGTCTGGAGGGAGAAACTTCAGGAAGAGAGCCGGGTCCTGACTCCCTTGGAACGTAACAATGCCCTCCCCACATTAACCCTGTGTGTGCCAGGGAGTGCCCACCAGCCTCAGGCCTCAGGATGGACCCCAGTTGAAATCCTGGGCAGCACTGCACCAGCACCTTGGGGCCTCTCTGCATTTTTTTTTTTTTTTGGTTGATGGGGGTGGAGTCTCGCTCTGTCACCCAGGCTGGAGTGCAGTGGCGCGATCTTGATTCACTGCAACCTCTGCTCCCTGGTTCAAGCGATTCTCCTGCCTCAGCCTCCAGAGCAGCTAGGATTACAGGTGTGCCACCAAACCTGGCTAATTTTTGTATTTTTAGTAGAGACTGGTTTCACCATGTTGGCCAGGCTGGTCTTGAACTCCCGACCTCAGGTGATCTGCCCGCCTCAGCCTCCCAGAGTGCTGGGATTACAGATGCGCACCACCATGCCCAGCTGATTTTTGTATTTTTAGTAGAGGTGGCGTTTCACCACGTTGGTCAGGCTGGTCTCAAATTCCCGACCTCACGTGATCCGCTAGCCTCGGCCTCCCAAAGTGCTGGGATTATAGGTGTGAGTTACTGCGGCTGGCCTAAGACCTCTCTGCTTTGATGTCACCATTGCAGCTGGGCCCATGCCCTTCACCGAGGGCTGGGCCACCTTCTAACTCGTAGGTGTCGGGGGATGTGGCCCTGTCTGCCCCTTTCTGTAGGTTCCCTCTGGAACTTAGCTTGGGCCCCACCCCTAGTGCTCAGTAAGGGTTTGTAGACACCTGCCTGACTTCCTTGCAGTCCCTTGGGCTCTGCTGAGGACCTCAGCCACGTAGATTCCGGTCGAGGCCCCACATGTCACCTGACATTTGCAGGGCACGTCATGCTTCACAGAGCTCTTCTCACACAGCAGACCTGTGAGGTAGATGATGTTTCCCCAGTTCACAGTTCATGAAACAGACCGTTGTCATGGGAAGTGTGTCGCAGTCACACAGCTAACTGGCAGCAGAGCCAGCCCCAGTCCTCTGCTTCTCTCCAGTTTTTCTGTGTGCCTAATCCTTGAATAAAGGTTTGAAGGCCGGGCGCAGTGGCTCACACCTGTAATCCCAGCACTTTGGGAGGCCGAGGTGGGCAGATCACTTGAGGTCAGGAGTTCGAGACCGGCCTGAGCAACACAGTGAAACCCTGTCTCTACTAAAAATACAAAATTAGCTGGGCTTGGTGTCATGTGCCTGTAATCCCAGCTACTTGGGAGACTGAGGCAGGAGAATCACTTGAACCCAGGAGGCAGAGGTTGCAGTGAGCTGAAATTGCATCACTGCACTCCGGCCTGGGTGACAGAGACTCCATCTCAAAAAAAAGGAGTTTGGGCATCTCCACTGGGCAAGCCCTGAGCTGGAATACAGAAGGTGGAGACAGCCCGTGTACCCCCAGAAAGCAGCAGTCTGCAAGCCATGGTTCCTGCCTCAGGATGAGATCACTAGAACACTGAGCATCGTGAGAGGGCAGGGGGTGGCAGGATAGGCCAAGGGCAGAGGCCCTTAGCATGGGAGCAGAGTGGTGCAGGACTGGCCCTAAGCAGGCCTTCCCCAGCAGCAAGAAGCCCCTCGGGCACTCGGTTGGGGAAGCCAGCCTCTGTGCTGGAGGAGGGGTGGCTCCAGGGCAGAAGGAAGAGGCTAGAGGTGAACCTTCACATTGGTCCCTGAAGGGATGGGCAGTAGCAGCAGAGGCCCGGAAGGCCCGCCTTCCCGGAGAGTGACCTTGTCTTTGGCCCTTCTGTCCTTGTCCAGAAAGGGTGTCTTTGCAGGGTAACTGGAGGCTAGAGTAGGTCTTTGCGGGGGCTGGTGGAATGGGGGTCCAAGCAGAGGAGGAATGCAGTGTGGACGCAGCCTGCCTGCTCTTCTGGGATGTCACTTTTTACTGGCGACCAGGAGGAGAGGCCTTCCCCCATACCCCCTCCCCCTAGACCTGCATGGGGCCCCTCTCTCAGGTCCCTGTGCCACATTTTCCTTGCCACCTGGTACCATTTAACAAGAGAAGTGGCATTGCATTCTCCAGCCAAGGGTCTGGGAACCTTCCAAGCACTGGGGAACACAATGCTGTCACTGCCGCCAGCTCCCAGCCGAGCTTGGCAGGGGCCCTGGAACCAAGAGGCCTCCCCTCTAGAGTTGGGGGCTGGCCTGCCCCTGCCTCACAGCAGAGCTGAACCACACTTAAATGGCAGGCAGGTGCCCTCAGACCTGCTGTCCCTGGACGGCGGGGGATGGGTGGCCAGAGAGTGGGGTTGCTTCGTGCCATCTGGAGACCCAGTGGCATTGTCCAGGAGACAGTTTGGCTGAGGGAAGTAATGGAAGATCAGTGTGTGCCGGAATTGGTGCTTGGTACTGAGGTGAGGTGGAGGGAGATGGGAGCGGCTGGGCTTGGCTGCTTGCTTGGTGGGGTGACCTCAGGCAGGTCGCTCACCCTCGGCAAGCCTCAGTTCCTCAGCTGTAGCATGCCACCAGGTTAACTGATGCCTTTCTTCCTAGCTGGTTGAGGACTGGCAATGAAGACGCCACTATTTTATGTATTTATTTAGAGATGGGGTCTTGCTATGGTGCCCAGGCTGGTCTCAAACTCCTGGCCTCAAGCCCATTATTTTGAACATAAAGCTTTAAACAAATGTCAAATGTCTCAGGGTGGCCATGGTCATGATGTAGTCACATTGGAGGACATTGTTGAAGGCAGGCAAGAACCCCCTACAAGAATTCCCAGCCGGCCGGGCGTGGTGGCTCAAGCCTGTAATCCCAGCACTTTGGGAGGCCGAGATGGGCGGATCATGAGGTCAGGAGATCAAGACCATCCTGGCTAACACGGTGAAACCCCATCTCTATTAAAAAATACAAAAAAAAAAAACCTAGCCGGCCGAGGTGGCGGGCGCCTGTAGTCCCAGCTACTCGGGAGGCGGAGGCAGAAGAATGGTGGGAACCCGGGAGGCGGAGCTTGTAGTGAGCTGAGATCGCGCCACTGCACTCCAGCCTGGGCGACAGAGCGAGACTCCGTCTCAAAAAAAAAAAAAAAAGGAATTCCCAGCCTACAGGCTGGCAATGGGGGGCTGAGGCTCCTGGAGGCGGCGCCTCTTCAGCTGGGCCTGGAAGCTGCCTCATCCATGCTCCTATAAGCCGGAAGGAAGGTGGTGTTTGGGCCCCACTCTTAGAGGAGTAGAGCTGATTCGGGGTCACACACTCGTTTGTCCCCCTCAGTCCACCTGGCTATGAGCAGTCCTGGGGACCCCGGAGAGTTCACATTCTCCATGGCCAGTGCTCCAGGCCTGAGTGTCCTGGCCCCAATCTGATGGTGTTCCCATCCCTGCCAAGGAGGCAGGACCTTCCTAGCAAGGAGGGGCTCTGCAGCCTGGGCCCGCTGTCTCCTGCACCCCCGGTGAGCAGAGGCAGGAGCAGCCCGGCTGCAGAGGGGAAGTGGTGCAGTGGGAACAGGCCCAGCCTCTGGGTCCCATCGACTTGGGGTCTGTGGCCGATCTGCAGTGTGACTTGGGGCAGCCCACTTCCCTCTCCAAGCCCCACTGCCTGCCCCCCTCTTCAGGTCTTGTGAGGCTCGGAGAGAAACTGAAGAGCCTGACTCCCTGCCAGCCCTTTCACCCTCCACAGACAGTGGCTCGGTGCAGGCTGGCAGGCTGGTGGGCGAGGAGAGCCGGGGGGTTCTTGAGACAACGCCCTGTTACAGTTGTCCCCCAACCCACACACACCAGGGGTGCTGGGCCAGGCCTGCTGGCAGGGCTGGAGCACAAAGGGACCTTTTCTGGAAGGTTCTGTTGGCTTAGCCCCTTCCTTCCAGTGTCCCTTGGGGCCAGAAGGACACAGGCAGAGTCTCTGTGACAGAAAGTCTCACACTTGTGGGCTGAGGGAGACAGTGGGGTGGGCTGCCAGGTCATGTACCCTAAGTCTGCGGGTCCCACCTGAGTATGGTGCTGTGGACCGGGGACTGCTGAGGGCAGCTCCTGGGGGAGAGTGGGTGGGTCCTTCCCAGAGCCCCAGACCTGCACAGGAGGCAGCCTTCCCTGGACCGCCCTCTTCCATCAAAGGGGATGCCAGCTGTACTTGGAGCCCCTGCGAGCTGGCCAGGCCCAAGGGGTCCCCCAGCCCTCCTCCTCCAGTATGCTTGGCCGGCCTCCCTGTGAGGACACAGACCCCTGGGCCTCAGCCCCACCCCCTCTCCCTGCCGCTGTCCACACACAGGAAGAGGACACACTGAGGTGTGCAGTGTGGCAGGCTCAGGGGCTGCCTGGCAGGCCCCTTTGCTCTCTAGCCTGCTTTCCCTCTTTGTAAAATGGGACCAGTCGTGCCAGCCCCACACAGGGCTGAGGGAGGAGCTGGCCGGGTAGGGAGACGCTTTATGCACCGCGCTTTTCCTGCTCACTGGGCCTTGTCTGCTTCCCTGCCCCAGACATCCTTGGGGATCGCTCTACCCTGTCCTCTGTTCTGAGGTCGCCAAACCCCAGGCCTTCTCTGACTCCCCTGTGTGAAATTGCACCCATAACCCTCGAGCACCCCGCCCTTCTGACTTTTTCTCCCCAGCACTCCTTACCTCCCCGCCCACTATGTTGTGTCCCGTTTGGGTTTCCTTTCTGCTTCCCTGCTATTTCCCCAGAACCCAAAACAGCTCCTGGTGCCTGGTAGGTGCTAAGTGAGTGAGTGGCGAGTGACAGGGAGGCATCTGCACAGGAGTCGGCCTGTGCGTTCACAACGGTCTTCCTGTTGGTACCCCGAATAAGGCCTGGGAGGTTGGCCCTGGGGGCCCCCTACTCCTCTCCCCCCTGCCCACCCTGGCCTTACAGCCTCCTTCCACTTCACACACCTGGCCCCCAAGAGGTGGGGGTTCTGCTCCTTGTGGCTAAGGGACTGTAGTCTGCTCTCTAGTCTCACACGGAGGGCCATGTCCTCTATCCCGGGTCCATGCTGAGAGTGGCTGGGGTGCCCTGGCCAGACTCCTGCCCACAGTGCAGGAGCGTGTGTGTGTGTGCGCTTGTGCATGGAGTGGGGGCTGGAGGAGAGGCAGCTCCAGCCCATGAAGACCCAGGCAAGGATCGGTGACTGCATCATGGAAGGGCATGGCCTCCTACCCTCCCCTGGTGTGCGTTCAGGGAGGAAGGGGACCGGGGACTCCCAGGGCTCTGCCTCTGGGTCACACTGCTCTGGCCTCACCAGGACTTTGTACTGATTCCCTGGCCACTCCTGCCCCTCTCCCAATGAACCGAGGCTCACGACACTGCGTCCTTTCCCCTGTCCCCAGCAAGAGGTACTTGGTAGCATTGTCCTTGTTTGTGGGGGCTTTTTTTTTTTTTTTGAGACGGAGTCTCGCTCTGTTGCCCAGGCTGGAGTGCAGTGGCCGGATCTCAGCTCACTGCAAGCTCCGCCTCCCGGGTTTACGCCATTCTCCTGCCTCAGCCTCCCGAGTAGCTGGGACTACAGGCGCCCGCCACCTCGCCCGGCTAGTTTTTTGTATTTTTAGTAGAGACGGGGTTTCACCGTATTAGCCAGGATGGTCTCGATCTCCTGACCTCGTGATCCGCCCGTCTCGGCCTCCCAAAGTGCTGGGATTACAGGCTTGAGCCACCGCGCCCGGCCTGTGGGGGCTTTTAAATACAGGAGAAGGGAAAGGAAATAACCACAAGGGGTGGTCCTGGTGGTGTCATGAGACAAGATGGAGCGAAGAGAGCTGACTCGAAGCCCTGCAGGCCCAACCCAGCCAGCAGAGCCATCTCCACTGCTGACCCCATTCCTGGAAGACGGGAAAAGCTGTTTCTGTATACACCTACACAAGGGGGCAAAGGCACAGGACGAGGCAGTGAAGAAAGGCTCCCAAGGGAAAACAGAGGCTCCCTCTGGGGACCGTGGGGAAATGCCCTTTGTCACTCAGACTTCTGTATTGTTTGCAGGTTTTTCCTGAGCACGTGTTTAGGTACTACTGCATAATTATAATGAAAACTGATTTTGAAGTAGACACGAGTGCATCCCAGGCCCCAGAGCAGTTTACACCATTCAAGATCTGGGGGACTTCCGGGCCTCATCTGTCCCAAGGACTGCTCCCCGTACACTGGCTTGTTCCCATCCCAGAGTGGCCCTCACCGTTCCGCCCAACGCCTGCCTCGCCCCGAAGCACGTAGGTGCCCATGCCACGCTTTTCACAGGTCGGGTGGGACTCAGAACCCCTGTAGGGCCCCTCCCCTTGCGGGCTCATCTCCGAGAAGTGCCCCTTGCCCTGAAGCCACTGTTTTCTCATCTGGAAACATGTCCTCATAGTACTTGCATCAGACTTTCTTTTGAGGGTGTAGGTGTTGAGGACAACATAGGGGGCACAAAAATCGACAAGAACCCCAATTCTTTTCCGAAGACCCCAAACTATCTTGTCATTTTATTTATTTTTTCTAAGGTGGGGTTCTCACTCTGTACGCCAGGCTGGAGTGCAGTGGCACCAACCTCAGCTCACTGTAACCTCTGTCTTCTGGGTTCAAACAATTCCTGCCTCACCTCCCGAGTAGCCTTTAGGTTACAGGCGCCCCCTTACGAGACAACCCAACGGCTAATTTTTTTTCTTTTTTTTTTTTTAATTCTTTAGAGACAGGGGTTTCACTATGTTGACCCAGGTAGTCTCAAATCATTTCTTCGACTTCTGGTGGATCCAACCCCCTCAGTCTCCAAATGTTGGGAATTACAAGGGGCATGAGCCACTGCACCAGGCCCAAAATTATCTTTGTTTTTTTTTTTTTTTTTGAGGACACCGAGTCTCGCTCTTGTCACCAGGCTTGGAGTGCAGTGGCCGGGATCTCAGGCTTACTTGGCAAGCTCCGCCTTCCTGGGGTTTTACCCCATTTTCTCGCTGCGCTCAGCTCCGAGTAGCTGGACTACGAGCGCCCGCCACCTGCCCGGCTAGTTTTTTGTATTTTTTTTTTAGTAGAGACGGTTCACGTGTACGCAGGACGGTCTCGATCTCCTCGACTCGTGATCACCCTGTCTTCAGCTCCAAAGTGCTGGGAATTACAGCTTAAGCCACCGTGCCCGGCCCCAATATCTTTTTAAAAAGAGTATACAGTGAAATTAAAAGTAGACGTATGCGTGGCCGGCGGCTGGTCATGGCCTGTAATCCCAGCACTCGTTGGGAGCTGAGGTGCACAGGTCGCTTGAGACCAGGAGTTCGAGACCGAGCCTGGCCACTAGAATGATCACTCAAGCAGATGGTGAACCCGTCTCTACTAAAATGCAAAACCTAAGCCCGGGGCGTGTGGCACGTGCCTGTTCCAGCTACTCAGTGACTGAGGCAGCAAGAATCAACTTGAACCCGGGAGGTGGAGGATTGCGTGAGCGCGAGATCCGTGCCATTGCAACTCAGCCCTGGCCACAACAGAGCAAGACCTCCTCATCAAAAAAAAAAAAAAAGACTCGAATAAAGATAATTAGGCAGGGTGGGGCTTCATGCCCTGTACATCCCAGCACTTTGGGAGGCCAAGTTCAGATCAACGGAGGTCAGGAGTTCGAAAACAGTCTCCCCAACATGGCGAAACCCAACCTCTACTAAAAATACAAAAAATTAGCCAGCATGGTGGCAGGTGCCTGTAATCCCACGTTCTCAGGAGCTGAGGCAGGAGAATCGCTTGAACCGTGGGAGTCTGGATGTTGCAGTGAGCCGAGATCGCACCACTGCATTCTAGCCTGGGCGACAAGAGTGAAACTCTGTCTCAAAAAAAAAGGAAAAGACGCCAGGTGTGGTGGTGATGCCTGTAAACCCAGCACTTTGGTAGGCCAAGGTGGGCGGATCACTTGAGGTCAGGAGTTCAAGACCAGCCTGGCTAGCATGATGAAACCTCATTTCTACTAAAAATACAAAAAAAATTAGCCAGGCATGGTGGCACATGCCTATAATCCCAGCTACTCAGGAGGCTGAAGCAGGAGAATCGCTTGAACCCAGGAGGCAGAGGCTGCGGTGAGCCGAGATCATGCCACTGCACTCCAGCCTGGGCGACAGAGCCAGGCTCCGTCTCAAAAGAAAAAAAAAAGAAAAAGCTATGGGGGAAGAAAGAATACATTGAGGAATAAACTAATTCCCCACATTGGTCTGACTGTGAATTCCTCTTAACTGTTTTATCATCCAAGCAGCGACACAGGGCCTGCTGCAGCCCCCCACCCCATTTAGCAGGCCCAAGTGGAAAGGTTCATGTGAGGCCAGGCACCTGCACACAACACAGACACGAATCTTGCAGGCCTTTTGTCCCGGCACCTGGCCCAGCACATAGGAAGCGCCCAGCAAACATCTGTGTCACATGAGTGGGTGTCTCATTTGCGTCTGCTGCTCTTAGCAGTTGGCCTCCCTCTCTGGCCAAGGTGAGGGACCCTGGAACTCTGACAGTGGGTTCTAGCCCTCCCAGTCTCTCTGGCCTTGAGAGTAGCCTCCTCCAGTCTCTGCTGGGGGTCAGAGTAGCCAGCGCTTCCACTGTGAAACGCAGACCTGGCGCAGGCAAGCCCCCTCCTCCTAACTCCTGTAAATTCTCCCGACTCTGGCCTCACTGAGCCACCCTCTCCAGGGACAGGTTCCCTGTTCCTGGGTTCCCACAAACCTCAGCCTGCCAACATGGCTGGCACAAGGGCTAAATGAGCCGCCTGGTACTCAGGTCTCTGCAGCCCTCGCTAATGGGTAATGGCAGCACCAACAGGGATGGATGTGCGTGTGGGTGGCAGGGTTATGGCTCAGTCTTCTGGCTCTGTCCCCACTCCTCTGCCCCACAGAGAGGCCTTCCCTGCCCTGGTTCCCCTCCAGGCTCCTGTCCCCCATCCCCGTACCGTACACCCACTCTCACCCACACCTGCCCCCACGCCCACATCACCATACACCCACGCTCACCCACACCTGCCCCCAGCCCCACTTCTCCTTTGCAGCTCCCCTCCGCCCACACCTTCCTGCCTGGGAGCTGCTGGCCCATGTGCAGGGGATGGAGAGGGGTGGGCCAGTGCCCACCAGTCAGGGCTGGCTGACTGGGGTTCTTTGTGAACTTTCAGGGTCTCCCAAGCTGGAAACCTGGGGGCCGGCCTTGCTCCCCTCACTCCATGGCCAGCCACTGCATCATCCCCTGCCCTGGGCCACCAGTTCTGGATGTGGGCCACAGTGCCAGAGACAGGGTCCCTTGCAGTTACGGCTCAGAATCTCTCTCCTACCCAGACACCCCCAGGTACTGCACTGCCCAGGGCCTGGTGCCCTGCCCATCTGCAACCCAGGTGCTCCCTCCTCCATCCCAGCATCCCCTGTGGCAGTGGCCATGCCTGCCCCCGGGGCAGCTTAGGCTCCCCTTTCATCTCTCCAAGTCTTAGCCCCTGCTGCCCTCTGCCTGGAGTGTTTGCCTACCCCCTCGCTGCTGCTCAGGGTCTCCCTCTGCCCCCAAGCTCCCTCCCCAGCCCCTGAGTTTCTCCTCTGACTGTGCTCCCCCAGCCCTGAGTGCTTAGGGATCTGGGTGGCACGCATGGCATTTAACCCCATGCTCCCAGCCCTGAGCTCCCTGAGGCCCCTCCAGCCGTGGCCCTGGGGAGGGGGTAGCATGTGACCAGGAGGGCTGAGGGGGCTTGTGTGTGATTCTGAGACTCAGTCTGAGACACAGGTGACAGACAGTTAGGGACCCCAAACACTGGGGAGCAGAGATAGACAGGAGAGACCCGCAGTGAGAGACAGAGGTAGCGGGAGAGGACACACAGCCCTGGAGAAAAGGAGCCAGTATGGGCAGGCTTCCCTCCACTGCAGTCACAGGTCCCTTGCTCATAGGCAGATCTTCCTGGGCGCTCCCTGCACAAAGCCCCAGTGGCTCCCTCGTGTCCTCCAGCCACAGTCCAAGCTCCCTAATGTGCTAGATAAGGCCCCAGTCCAGCCCTTTGGTCCCAGCACTCCCTGGACTTCCTGTTTGGGCCTCCAAGCATTTGCTCCCCTTTGGCCTTCACCCCCATCTGTTCCCTAGACCTCACTCCATCTGGCAAATACTTCACCATCACCCCCTCCATGAAGCCTTCTAGCCCACCTTCCAGGATGACATGAGCTGGTACCCTTGCTGCGAGGCTGTCTTCCCCCATCAGTACAAGTGTGAAATTCCCTTGGGGCAGACCCACATGCTACTTGGGACTGGTACAAGTGTCTGATGTCAGGCTGGGCACTGTGGCTCACGCCTGTAATCCCAGCACTTTGGGAGGCCGAGGAGGGTGGATCACCTGAGGTCAGGAGTTCCAGACCAGCCTGGCCAAATGGTGAAACCCGTCTCTGTTAAAAATACAAAAATTAGCCAGGTGTGGTGACACATGCCTGTAATCCCAGCTACTTGGGAGGCTGAGGCAGGAGAATCGCTTGAATCTGGGAGGCAGAAGTTGCAGTGAGCCGAGATTGCACCACTGTACAGAGCCAGACTCCGTTTCAAAAAAAAAAAAAGCAGGTGTCTGATGTCCCCAACCGGCTCTGTCCAGGAAGGGCAGGAGGACTCCCTAGAAGCGGAGACAAATGGGGTGGGGGAGATGATGGGGAAGCATCCGAGGTCATGGAGCAGCCTTGGCTAGAGGGAGCAGAGGAACCACTCACGGTCTGTGTCCTGGCTCCATCCACCTCCCTACCCAAGAGGAGGCTCTGGTCTGCCCCCAGACGGTCCCAGCACCCAGCAGAGGGCCCACCCAGGCGGTGCTGGTTGAGTGACTGAACTGGGGAACCATAGGAAGAAAGAGAGGCCAGGCCTGGCGCGGTGGCTCACGCCTATAATCCCAGCACTTTGGGAGGCCGAGGCGGGTGGATCACGAGGTCAGGAATTCAAAACCAGCCTGGCCAAGATGGTGAAACCCCATCTCTACTAAAAATACAAAAATTAGCCGGGCGTGGCGGTGGGCGCCTACAATCCCAGCTACTCAGGAGGCTGAGGCAGCTAATTGCTCGAACCTGGGAGGCAGAGCTTG